AGTCATGGAAATATCCGGGAGAAAAGCATTTCAACAGAAAGAAGGCTTCGCTATAGGACAAGCCCTGGGATGCTCACGGAACAGGAAGGGAGCTGGATGGACAGATGAAATCCGAAAGTTAGGCACTGTTCACATCTTTGAAGATCCCGTAGGGCAGATTAAAGGATTTACAGACTGTTGCTTTCAAGGATGGGAAGCTATTGGTTGGCTTTAAACTATATGGCATCATGCTCTTGCTTTAAGTCAGCTGAGATTTCTCTAAGAGAAGATGCTTTTTTCACCAACAGGAGCCAAAGGTGGGCTTCTGCACAGCCCACGTGAGCGCTGGCACTGGCTTACAGAAGGTGGCTGTCAGCGCAGAGTCAGAGGAAGGAGGCCACTGTGGAGATGCTTGAAGTGGCAGCTTCAGCATGATTTGTAATGAATTGGGTATTTAGTAAGAAGGGAAGAGAATAAAGGATAATTCCTAGGGTATGTCTTGAGCACCAATGGACATCATGCCATTTTCAAAAACAGAGAAAGCTCTGTTTTCGCTGCAGTTTGTTCTAATACAGGATTATTAGTTTTCTCCAACGGAGGAACCAGGGAGGTCCATTTGGACAGGGTGCCTTTTAGTTGAGATGTCTCTCGGAGTCTCATGTATGAGATTGCCAGGAGAAGGTGCTAAATGGAGATGAGGAGACGGAGGCAGCGAATAGGAGGACAAAGGAATATGAGGTGTCACAGAGAGGAGGGAAAGAAAAGGGGCTGCCGTGCCATGTTGAGGTCACCTAAAATGTCACGGACAAAAACAAGAGCAGCAACTGTTTGGCAACATGGAAGTTACTGCTGATTTCCTCTCAGTGGAGAGCAATGTGTCTGTAATGTGAAAAAAACAGTCTGGGAGGAAATAGACCACACTCTTTTTAGTGGTGGGAAAAAGCGGGGTGAGGAAACCAGAAAATGTAAATTCTTCTTAAAAATACACATGCGCGCGCGCGTGTGCACGCGCGCACACACACACACACACACACACACACACACAGACATACACACTCAGAGCTATTGGATTATATCTGAAAAACTTTTATTTTTTTCAAACCATTCTCCTTTAAAAAAGAAAGTGAAACATAAATAGCTGTGCTTTACAGAGGTGTGACATTACATTGCTGTTCTGAAACAAGTGATCATGTGACCTCACAAAAAACCATCATTACCATTTCACTGAAAAGCACTTCACTTGTGGAGTTTCATTGACTGATTAGAATTTGTAACAGCCCTGGAAATACAGCCACTCATCCACTGTGTCTCCCTAATGCCGTTACCCAAACACCAGGCATGTCTAGCTGCCGCTTCGTCTTTTAGTCTAAATAAAGCTGAATGGAGCCTTTCACTTAGATTTATTTTTTCTTTTCTTTCCTCCCCTCCCTCATTTACATACACAATCCTGATCACACATCAGCATCGAATTTCATCACCCAAAGAGAAGCATATTGGATCTAGAAAACCCATAGAAAATGTCAGGTAGAGGCCTCGTTAGCGTCTTAAATGCGAGGGAAAAGGAAATAATTTAATTCTTCAGTCAATCATGCGTTTCTCTTATTTCTCTTATGCTATTTATTCTGAAATGATATGATATTATATTTTATCACATTTAGTTTTGTATGACCATAAAAAGCAATCCTTCATTAGACACAATATAAAACGGTATAAAATATATAAAGAGCAGCAGAGATGACCTTAGTAAACTTTCTGGGTTCCTCCAACCTTTCACCCTTATTTATAGTCTTATTCCAATGGAGAGCTTATTTCGAAACTAGATTAGTGAATGCAGCATCTATATTTTTGCAGGTTTTTATTTTCAAGTATAACTGGAGTAAATTTTCCATGCCATTAAATATTACATTATGCTTAAGATTATGGCATTTGGAGTCAGAAAATGAAAATTGTCGTGCTGTGTTTTCCTTGATGAAAAATAACACCAACAGCAATAATAGAAGATTGTTAACAGGTGACATTTAATGAATGTGCAGTGTATTCCAAGAAGTGTAAGCTCTTTGCATGTACTAAATAATTCAGTCCCCACAGTGACCTTATGAAGCAGGTGCTGTTTTTTCCCCCTTTTCACCTGTGAAGCAACAAGCTCGGGAAAGTTGTCACCTTCTTAGGATCATAGAATGAGCACTGGTGGCGGCACCAACATCAGAGCCCAGGAGGCCACTGACTTTTTAAGGAACTGACCTGGTTGTTTGAAACAGCTCATTATTTTTAGGGGAGCAGACTTTTTTCATCTTGACTAGCTTTTATGTACGTTGAACACGAAACTGTTTTTAAGGGTAGTTACATGCTGGTTTTCCCCTGGCAACTTCGACGGAGCACCAGCTGTAGCGTTGTCCATCCAAGACCCGCTGCTGCGCGGAGCCCTGGTGCGTGGAGCCCTGGTGCCATTGCCTTGTTTCTTTCCCGCTCTCCTGCCACAGGAAGCAACCAGCTGGGCCCCATCTATGGCCACACATCCGTGACGACAGGCAGCCTGCTGGACGATCACCACTGGCACTCTGTGGTCATCGAGCGCCAGGGCCGCGGCATCAACCTCACGCTGGACAGGAGCACCCAGCACTTCCGCACCAACGGCGAGTTCGATTACCTGGACCTGGACTATGAGGTGAGCCCGAGGGCGTGTCATTGTGATGAGGGCCGGTCGGGTGGCTGCCTCAGCCTTCCTGTATTGTTCTTGTGCTCTCGTTACATATGCACCTTCCCACGCCATTTTCATTTTATTATCCAAAGCAAAATTTACTTGCAGTTTCAAAGCCTAATGTATTAATATATGCCATCTTACTCATCTCTAAACTTTTAATAATAAATACTTGAAATATTTTTAAAATCACGGTACCGAAGCAACAGTTTGAAGAGAGGGAGCATCTGTCACGTTATCAGGACCATTTAACAAGCTCAGAATAAACTGAAGTTGTAATCTGTCCACTGGTATTTAATTATCATAGAAATCATCTGTTCTTCTTGATAATGCAGTATATATAATACATAGGGTTACCTAATATTTATTACAAAATATCGAATAAGAAATCCTGAGTTCCGATTTGTATGAAGCAATTTATAAATTCATGACTGTAAATAGTTGTTTTGACAAGTTCTATTTTCTCAGATAAAATTGTCATGAAAGAAATAAAATATAGACTGTCTTAAACTGTCCATAAATAAAATGTTTTATTGAACCTTCCAAATGATCAATGATTAAAAAATAATCAATGATCACATTGGTCCAGTAAAAAGTAAATATTTTCATAATATACCAGTAGGAATGTCAGGTTTTTAAAATAAATTCTATGGAGAGAAATTCAACCTTAAAATGCTTATCAAAAATGGTAACCCTGTAGGATGAAGAGTTCTGTAAGAAGATATTTATCACAGCGGAATATACACTAGGAGAAAAGCGGTGGCACTACATAAACAAGATTAGCATAGCAGTAAAATGAACAGGCTGAAATATTATTCAGCTGGAGGTTTCCAGATGGTTTTAATTCATGGAACCCCTGGCATCTTACTAATTTTCCGTAGCTATCCTAGGCCATTCTGTGATAGATACAACCAAACAGCCGAATAAACGTTTATGCTCACACAACCTGGTAGCCATTTGAAAAACAAAAAAAAGACACCTAAAATAAAAGTTTAAAATATAGCTCTATTTTATTCTTCAAATAATAAATCTCTAGTAACGGGATGTGTGCCCCTTCGCTGAGCAACTTCCCAGATCGTGGAGCCAGCTTTGACACTGCCACCCTTATTTTCTGTCCCACTCGTATTTTCATGTGACACCGATTTCCCCAAAGACAGGACCTCATCAAAAACAATGGAGCTGATGTCAGAACGGGGAGCTACCTCAGCCAGTGTTTCACAGTGTCCGGAAGATACCAAGTACTGCTTTGCTTCTTTTTAAATGTAAAGTAGGCCATGGCACCCCTTTGAGTTCCCTGTGCCCGCTCAGTGTGCCTTGGCCCCCAGTTCTGAAATTGCAGATCTAAACATACACATATATGTGTATTATCCATGCCTATATACATTTTTAAAGAATGTGGAATATACTCGCCATAAAATAATAAAAGAAAAAGTCAGGATTTACAGCTGTGTTTTCTATTTTCTTTATATGTTTAAATAGTTTCTAAATTTTCTGCAATATAAATATATTACATATATTCCTAAATAGGAATTTAGAATAGTACTATATAACTTTATTAACATTAATGAAAAAGGGTATCAGGAAATAGTTGCACCTCCAAAACAAAATCTCTTTTAAACAAAAATGATTGTTGAAAGGGAAAGAATGTGAAAAATTCCAGAAATTTTTATTTTCTTTAAATTATTATAGTTCTTGGCTTATGTGACTTGTCTCCTACTTTATGAGAGAACTTAAAAAGGAATTATTCATTCTCCATCAATAAACTTTGAAGTATCATAGAAGAGGCGAGAAATCCTTGAACATTATAAATGGACAAACACAATTCCAGTGATCAAAAACCAAGAATTTAAAATTTGGGGTCATAGACCCCATTGAGTTTGTGATGAAATCTATGAATATTCATGCACACACATGCTTTCCTTACAGGGTCAGAAGTTTAGGGGACACTTTGAAGCCCATCTATATACAACACCATGTTTGAGAACCTCCTCTGTAGACTAAACTGCCTGGGACATTTTTGTGAGTGAGAAACAACCAGGAAGCAATTTAAATGTACTAAAGAAAGAAGCAGGATAAACTCAGCTTATTCTGTTTATAGAGCTACAGCTGATTACTCTCCTCTTAGATACTGTAGTTATCGGCATGAACTTCAATAAGTAGCTGGGCTATCTTTGTCTGTTTGTAACGAGGAACAAGAGACACTCCCATCACTCAGAAAATTCTAAGGATTTTAGGAGCTGGGAACTGGGGACAAAGACCAAATATATTTATGTATTATACCACACCATTATGCAGTATTTCCCTCACGTGGGCACAATACATCTCAAGAACGTCAAGAGCGTGCATGATAGGAAAACGTAGAGATGAGTTCTGAGTAGTTATTGTTTTGGTGGGTTTAATATAATTTTTTTAATTTAAAGCTTATGTAATTTACTTTTGAACACTGACTGTGTGTAAGGATCACTACTCATGAGCCTGTGTGACCAGATTTCAGCATGCCACTGCCAGGGGCGAATTAAATACCACCTCTCGGCATTCCTGGAGATGCGTATCCTGAAGCAAACAAGAGAACACCAGCTTGCTCCTCTGACGTAACTGGGTGTGGGAACTTTCTGTGGAAGACTGGTTTAGGTTTCAGGGTTCACCTCGCTCACCTCTGTAGCCCCTATACACCACAAAGAGAGCCAGCCAATCACCATTTGCCGTGAAGGCTGGCTACACTGCTGGCTACACGGTGGCCTGAGAAGTGTGCAGGGCCATACGGACGGACGGACTTGGCTTCGTTCTTCCTCTTCTCAGCCAGAGAAACGGGGGAGCTGGGCAGCAGATCGGTGTTGGGCCTGGCTCTCTCCTCTTCAGTTGAATTCCAGGGCACGCCCACTTGGCTGTGGTACACCCCCCACCCCCCACCCCCACCCCGGCCTTTGCGATACAGCTCTGCTTAGAAAGTACAGGAGTGGCGGCTTCCTTTGTTCACTGCAGAACCTGCCTAGGATTTCAGACAGAAACTGGTTAGGATTTTTGGAGAGAATCAACTGCATGACCCCAACCTGGAGTGAAAAGCCGGCATTTGAATCCCTTTTTGCCCCTTTACTGGTTGTGTGACATATTTCCTGTCTATAAAAATGAATATAATAGCGCGTTTCTTATAGGGTGATGTGAGGATATGAGGAGCCAATAGGAAGTCACAGCAAGTGCCGTGCATGTCAGTTACGGTTATCAGACTGCATATCACAAACCCACGTTTATTCCTTTTCATATAAAAGGAGCCCCTAGGCCGGTAGCCCTGGGCTCAGATGGCATCATCCTGGTCCCCGGGACCTGTGTCTGCTTTTCTCTTGCTGCTACTGCAAATCCCTCTCAGGTGGCTCTCATGTGCCATCTTGCATTCCAGTCAGTGGGAAGGAAGAGAGAGTAGAAAAGGCTGTGCCCCCCGCCTCCTTTAATTGTAGTTCTTGGAGTCACACGCAGCTCTTGCACTTAAATCTCATAAGACCAAAACTCGCTTCAGAGAGGTGGGTAAATGCCACGTGTCGGCTAAGTAGCAGTGTGCACAGCTGAAAAGCAATTTTTGTGGGGGTTTTTTCCCTAAAGACGGTGTGACGAAAGGACACTTAGAGATATATAGCAGTCTCTGCCACACTTTGTAAACTCTTAGTAGCTAACAAAATGGTTACTGCAGTTATTTTTCAGAATCAACATTGTCATTGAATGACAATATCATTAGTAAGTCAATCATATGAGTCATATGACTATCTGATTATTAATCTAACCACTGCACCATTTTTTACTATCAGAATAGTTATAATATCAGAAAGTGTTTTGTGGTCCAGCCACCTCAATTTACCAATGAGAATATGTAACCGGAAAGAAGAGACAAGCTAATATCATACGATTAGTTACATTAGGAATTGGAACTTGAACCCGCATCTCTGAGTTGTAAGGAACCTGGTAAACTGAGCCTGTGCCACTTCCCCAGGGCACCTCCCGGAAGGTAGGACACGTGCCGGGTTGCCGAAAGCAGAGGATCTTAAAGAGTGTTTCAGTTATCTTCCCAAAGGAAGGTGAAAGTCTCCAAATAAGGAAACTGCGCACACAGAGGACTAAACCAACACCTTTAAACTAGCATTTAGCAATATTATTCAAAATGGGACACTTCACGTCATTAAGCATTGAAGGTTTTATCACTGTCAACTGGGGAAGAAACAGATAAAATAAATTACGGATGGGAAACACCACATTCCATTTAAGTATCAATAATTCTTACCTTTGGCATTAGGTACACCTATATCTACCTAATAACCTCAGTTCAGTGCCAGTTGAATATATTTTTTCAATAATTCTATTATTTTGATTATTTTCTATTCCTTTTGTAGTTTCCTTATTTTTTTACGTATTTGCAGTTTTTCTCTTTTCTTCCTATATGTAAACTTTATGGTAAATGATATATATCTATTATTTTTTAATATTATTTTAAGTGAGGTGTTTTATTTTAATCTGTATTATCTCATAAACCATCATTAATTTAGTCTGTGCTTTTTTTCCCCTAAAACTAATCGAGCTTTTAAAATGCCCTGACACTCAATAATAAAACATAATTTTCTAACGGCCTCCTAGAACACGAAGATCTTTGCCTTATGTATCAAATATAAAATCTTGACATTTTAAACTTTCTTAATTATTGCTTCATTTTCAAAACTTTGTGAGAAAAACTGATAATGATAACACTGAATGATAATTAAGACACATATAACATCTAGATTATGTATCTTGATATTACAGCTATGATTAGTGGAATTCATTTACTACTAATTAATTATGAGCAACAGATGTCATTATTGGCAATACATAAATCAGTATAATTTGGTATTATATAAAAATTATAGTACTTTAATTTGACCAAAGATATATGGAAAAATATGTACTCTCTTTTTATAGGTGATAGTAGCTAGAAAAACACAGGATGGGGCATTACCTTAGTCCTTAGGATTTTGAAGACCTATAATATCTTTACGCTGGTACTTCTCAAATTCTAGACCCCCAAGTTCTAAGATATCCCTAATCAATATAGTAATGAGACTTTTTGATCAATTTTCTATAGTCACCATATATCTAATGAATTATTTATTATACTTTAATGGTCATTAGACAACAATAAGTCTATGTAGAATAAACACAATATTCCCTTTCTTTGGCTACAGTTTTATCAACTTATATATTAGTGCTGGTTATCTCATGAGGACTAGAAGCACTTATTGATAGTAATGTCTTTGAATGATAAATGTAAAAATGCATTTTTAATATTACTTAATAAAGTACATTTGCTGTATAAAATCATTTAAAACATTCTCAGGAAGATATATGAAATGCCTTTTGGGTAGCAAAAATGCAAGGGATCTCTGCTATTGTTGAAGTTATAATCTAATTGTCAGAATTAATGGTACTATTATGCCCTTCCATCACAATGTAATTTAATATGCAACAGATTTTGGAGACAGAAACATGTCTGCATATATTGATTGAAATGAAGATAACTGACCTTGGCTGTATTGATAGTCTTGTGTAAGTCGAATACTGTGTGACTGTTTATATTATTTCCCTCACAGATCACCTTTGGAGGCATACCTTTCTCGGGCAAGCCAAGTTCCAGCAGCAGGAAGAACTTCAAGGGCTGCATGGAAAGCATTAACTACAATGGCATCAACATAACTGACCTGGCGAGAAGGAGGAAGCTGGAACCCTCCAATGTGGTAAGCCTTTTCACGCCCACGATGTCAGTTCATAGAAAGATCGAAGAGCTTCCGTTTTCTGTAGACTGCCGAATGACACCGTCATAGCATTTGTCATCATGACTGTGCTGGGCTTCACAGTGTCAGCCTGACTTTAGAATTACCAAGTATGTAGATACTGATTTTTGGGTTAAACTAGCCTGAAATAGACCGTGAGTTGTATTCCGATGGGGCACAGGCTTTTCGTCCCCATGTTTCCGGGTTCCCGATGCCAGAGGAACAGGCGTACATCATGACCGGCTTCATCCCGGCAGTTCTGCAGCCCTTAGATTGGCAGCATTGTGTTTCCAAACATCTCATCATCGATGGTTCTCCACTTCTTGTGTATGATTTAATTCAATACTTGTAAGGTGTTAAGATCAGGAACTTTATTATATCTGCTTCCATGTTTCTGAACATAATTCATCCAAGTATATAAATAAAGACACTTTTTTGTCAAGGCTCTCAACATACTGAGTAGAATGCAATTAAATAATGATTGATTACCATTGAAGAGTGAGAGCTGTGACAGGGAAGCTCACGGCAGTCTCCTGACACTGGTGTAAGCAGTTTCCAGCTTAGACGATTTCAAGGAGAGCAAAAATCAAGGAACACTGGAGCACACCTGCCTCCCATGACACTGCTTAGGATCGCTAAGGGACGTGAACTTGAAAACCCAGTGTGTATGTTCCCTGTGCGTCTGCAAGAACGGGGTCTCCTTCAGCCCCAGATTGTTGTGTAGGAGAGTCGGGGATTACAGAGACCCATACAGTTGAGAGGTACTAGAAGTAGGAAACACCATGAAGGAATGCCCTGTGCTCCAAATGAGCTCGGAGGGCCTCCTGGCCCCCCATGTGAGACTAGGGTTTCCATACAGTGACTGCACAAATGGAAGCCCCCTAGTGAATAAACAGAGTTCAGGTTGGGTATAAGCCTATAAAACAATTTAACGTAATTTTTTTTTCTTTAGTAAGTATTTCTCTTAAAACTTACAATGAATTTATACTAACTTTGATGAAGTTATCTCATAAAGCATATGGACGATAGAGAAAAATAGTAATCGGTCCATTTATAGGCAACAGGCGCTCTGCTAGGCATCTTACATTTATGATAACCTGAGAACAAACTACAAGGAAGATATTATCATAAACATCTTATAGATGAGAAAACTGATATTTCACCTGGAAAAATAACTTTCCAAGGTAACGGAATATGAGTGGCCAACAGATTATGCATTCATCATATGTGACTCCCAAGGTCACGATGTCCTTCCATGCTGGGTTGCTTCTTATCTAGAGTAGTGTTAATAAATATTCTATTTTAAGCTTTGTTTAAAAAGGCACTGGGATCCTTTTGTTTTCTCAGAAATTATTGCTTAAGAGAGCAAAGTACAGAATTCAAATCATCACAATGCTCTTTCCATCATTTGCACCTTTCAGAAGAGGTAAAGCGCTGTTTCTGCCCAAATCCCTCAGTTGCTCCTGACACATGTCCATCAGGTATCAAAACTAAAAATAATTTCACTGTGGAGACTCATTCCAAAATCAACTGCTACTGTGAAATATATTGTAGTTGTAAATGTTGTTTTAACTTGAATAGCAAAGAGACTGAGTGAAGTATAAATCACTTATATTTATTAAAATGTAATGAGCACATATAGAATAAACTTTTAAATAAAAATATATGCATATTAAAATATTAGGCAACATAAAAAAATATTAGGCAACATAGAAATAAGTAGGATGCTTATCAAATGGCTCTACAAAGGCAAATATTTATGTAGGAAATTCGCTTTCAAAGATGTCAGGTGCTGATATTGCAGTGAAACTGACTCACCTGTCATCCTGCACCCTCTCCATGCTCACACCCCATCCCTCATGCAGTGACTCCAGACTCAGGAAGGACCTTGAATTTTGCCAGGCAACCATCCCCACAACCCAAGTATGTGGTCAGTTAGAATATCTCAATTATTATGGATAGGTTCTTTTCATCGGTAAAAGTACGAATTTAAATATAATCATCTGTGAAGGTACAGTGAAAATTGAATTTGAATATTAATTCAGAGAAAGCCTGCCTTAAATTTAATGGTTAATGTGCTGAAATGGAAGAACTGTGCACCTAGTGATATAGATACACGGTGTTATGAAAAAAAATAATAATTGAAAGACCAGTTGAAAATATCATCAAATTGTACTCCTCAAAATATTATGGTGGGATAAAAGAAGTTGGAAGCAAATGTGAATTGTCAGATCTTTAAAAGGAATGATAAAATTTTATATATATCCTGGAATATAAAATCCAGTGTATCTGAATGGCAAATCAAATTTCTTTGTACCAAATAGAGGGAATATGAAAGAGAAGCAGGAATTTTGCAAATTTTCTTTTCATTTTGTACATTCATGTCACTGTTTCTGTAATCATTAATGCATTATGATTTAAGCATAGTTCTCGATAATTCAAATGGGATTTTTGAGTTGAGTAACAAAATAATCTGAAATAATCACAATTATGCTGATGCTAAATAGTTTACATATACATATATGCACACATTTGTATATATTAGTAGGTAATGGTGGTAAAACCCGAGATTATTTGCCCATAATATCAGTTTAATAAACAGCAACCAAATGGCCACAGTTCCCACTGAGACCAGAGTAGCATGCTAACAAACGTTTGCATAGGCCTTCCAGAAGGAGGCAGTGGCATGTCCTCTGTGGCTGACCCATCATGGCTGGGGAGCAGCTGCTGTTCACTGTCTTCCGAAAGTCTGGTGGTCCACACTCAAACTCACAGAGGCGCACAGCCCTTCCTTGGCTCAGCTCCTCACATCAGCTGTCAGTCTGTCATTCCTTGATGTGGTGGCCGATGTCTACACTTTGATAGGTACGCACTCCAGGTAGATCCGTGCCAAGGTATCCAGCCGCTGCGTCCATGCCACACTGTGTGGGGGTGGCACAGGTTAAGCACCGTGTGGACATGTGTGGAGCTGCAGCTCTTTTGGCTGACTTACATGGATGATGGTTTTAGTCCCCTTTTTCCTCAAAGAACGCCCTTCTGTTTTCCAGGGAAACTTGAGTTTCTCGTGTGTGGAGCCCTATACGGTACCTGTCTTTTTCAACGCCACCAGTTACCTGGAGGTGCCTGGGCGGCTCAACCAAGACCTGTTTTCGGTCAGTTTCCAGTTCAGGACTTGGAACCCCAATGGCCTCCTGCTTTTCAGCCACTTTGCAGATAATCTGGGCACCGTAGAGATTGACCTCACCGAGAGCAAAGTTGGTGTTCACATCAACGTCACGCAGACCAAGATGAGCCAGATCGACATTTCCTCAGGTCAGTGGAGTCTGATGTTTGCTCATGAAACTGCTGAGATGGTTTTCACAGAGAGCCGTGTTTGTTTTGTTTCGCCTTGTTTGCGTGGCATGCTGGTGGTTATGTTTGGATCCAGACTTTTGAGATTCTTTCTTGGTTGCCCTGAGTGCTGATTGAGAATGGAAACCTGGGGACCTTTCTTCGAAGATGAGGGGTGGGCAAGCAGGGAAGTTGGTTGAGAGCACCAACATCTATTTCTTAGAAATGCAAGTTCTATTTAATAGAGAAATTGATGTTCCTCTAGGCGAATAGTTGATGTTTAAAAACAAAGAAAGTTTATTTTACTAACGTAATAGTATCTGGTACCCTTTGACTTCATGGACATTCAAATATCTTTTACTATTATTAATAGGGTAATATTAACTTAATCATGACTTTAAAGGTATATTCAAACTAACCTGAATAAAAATCTTTAAAGTGATCTTGCTAAATATATGCAAATTGTCAGGAAAAAAAAAAAAGACAAACAGACAAGGGTGAGTACAAGATGTGTGTATCAACTGAGGGAAGACTGACCTGGCCAAGTGGGATCGTTTTTAAACTTGAAATCATAGCGGTATGATCAACTACACTTAGGTGATATTGCTGTTAACTGAACAAACTTAGCAATCTAGTGATATTCCTTGAGTAACATCGTACAAAGAAAGATGAAATTGCAAAGTCAGGGGTGGGGGGAGGTTTCCAAACAAAGGAAGAATAGGCATGATATGGGACTGAGAGGTAGTAAAATTTTCACCAAAAGTCTCTAGACTTCCTTGCAATAGTGGTTTTTATTTTGTAGAGGGTAACTTAGAAGACCGAGAGGAAACCAATATTTGAAGAGTACCTTGTATAGATGAACACAATACTGAGAGAGGAAGTTCGTGAAAGAGTGCTCAGTGGCAGCCCGCTGGCGCTGATTCCTAAATCTCCCGGTCTACTCGTGACCGTGTGCAAACCCTGACACCGTTTCTAACACGTGCTGTTATCTGTGTA